TTAAACTAGAAAAAAATAAAGAATGTATAATTCTACTTCCTTCCCAATCTCGCTGTTGAGTTAAATTGTAATAACATATCTTGCTGAACAATTCAAAATAAGGATCTAGCTTATTTGCAGGCAATATATTCTCTAATATATAATCATTAATTTTAACAAAATTGTCCCTCAGAGACAAAACTCTGTATTAAATTCTTTAAGAATTATGATTAATTTCTGTATTCTTTCTCAAAGTTTATTTTTTTAATGCACTGATGAATCATATTGGAATATATGTACAGCAGTGGATGCCCAGTGAAATAATGGATAGCAGCTTGGATTGAGGAATCAGACAGCTGAGTTCAAATTCCTGTCAAGTTTGTTACATTTGCTTACATGGAAATACCATTGAAAAAAGGTATAAATCCCTCTCTTCTCCCCCACCAGCTATAGGTTAAATAGCATGACAGACTGGATCCTATAGTCTTGAGTGGCAACCAGTCTATGATAAGGACAACTCTGAATTCAAAAACTCCAATTATGGGCAGACTTGGCTCTTTAGCCTTCAGTGGCAACCAGTTTAGAAGAATGACAATTTCATATGTAGCCCTAACGAAGCATATACTATGCAGATAATGAAAGGATTGTGGATTTCACAATGACTGTGATCCCAACTGTGGACAATAGACTAACTGCATCAGAGAACCCTTCTATTTTCAAGTGTGCCATTCAATTATATAATTGGCTTGACTTAAAAAGAAAAAGAGTTTTACTTTAAAAAGTGTGTTTCTATTATTTACATTGTTCATACTGTTGTCCTCATCGTTATTGACAGCTTCAAGACTTTTGATCAAAGTTGTTTCTTATGACAGTTAAACAATTCCTTAATATTGGTGGGATGGCCACATTGCTGAGTGGTTAGAACATTAGCATTCCAACCATAAGACTCTGGTTCAAATCTCACTATGATTCATTTATCAAGCAGGTACCATCTTGAGAAAATTGCCTGAGGGAGGTGATCCCAGTATGTAGCACTATTGGGGAGTGTCTGAAAACCATATCACAGGTTGACCCAAGCATTGTGTGGAAATGAAATTGGCTAGACAAAATTGTTTTGAAGCTGCCAATGGTTTTGCTAGCACAGAATTATCATGAAAAAAAGTGTCAATTAACTCCTGTTATCATGAGCTTATATTATAAAATTATACATCTAGCTGTTTTTCAAAACCTTTTATATAGGCAACATACTTTTTAAAGTAAATTTTTTTTGAAACACGTTTTCTTTTTAAGTCAAGCCAATTACATAATTCAAAAGGTATATAAAAACTTAGTTAATAATTAAAGAAAGAGCAGTAAGATGCTTTGACTCACCAATTTAGAAAGCTCAGATCTTACCCAAATGAAAAAATAACTGAGAATTGACAGTAAAAGAAATCAAATAACTCTAGAAAAAAGTACAAATTTTTAATGAAAAATATCTCCCTTATTAATTATTCTGCTTTTAATTTTTCTTTCTTTTTTTATCATTTCATCCCAAGCAAGACAATAAAGCCAATAGGATTCAAGGTGTAACCGGATGTTAGAGAATAAGAAAAAGAAAACACTATTAAGGAGAGAGAACAATAAAGGAAGAAGAATTAAGACAGAAAATAACAATTGACATTGCATTTAAGTTTTTGAAGATCAAAGTTGACTCAAAAACAAGAAGTTGAAAGAGAGTTCCACAAGCGAGAAGTGCTAGAAAGAAACTGTTATCATAGAACTTACAGTAACATCTAACCATTTCAACTGTAAAATGATGAGAGCTTTCTGCCAATCTATTATTGCTTAAATTCATAAATTCTAGGTACTACAGAGGAAAGTAATATTTATTTTGATAATACAAAAATATGGCACAAGGCCAAAAGGGTGGATAGGGAAAGACTGGTCTTCAATCTGTCTTATTTTAAACTTAGCTAGCCACAATTACTGACCCAAACATACCACAGTATTCCTTGCACCAAAACAACACATTCTTACTTATTATTTTTACTACAGCCACCATAATACCACAAAGTCTCTATGAAGTCCTAATTTGTTTGTGGGGGGTGGGGAATAAAAATAACAACTATAGAGGAAAGAAGTATTTATTTTAAGTAATAGAAGAATGTGGCACAAGGCCAAAAGGACAGATAATAATACCTCAAAGTCTCTATAGAGGAAAGTTTATCAGAACAATTACCATGAAAGTATTTATAGAAAAACCACAGGGAAGTGACATTACAGCAGTGGGAAATTGACTGAAGCCAAGATGCAAGGTGAGGACCAATAACATTGCAGATTCTTATTTAGATTTTATCAAGAATCTCTAAATATATAGAAGGAGCACCAGACCAGATGTGGCAGCAATATTCAAAGGACGAATGGTAAACTTATAAACATGTAAGATAGATTCTGGCAAGAAAAATTGTCTAGCACAACACAGGCAACCAACTTTCCTAGCTGCAGACCTAACAATTGATTCAATGATTTATAAAAAAAAATTAATTAAAATGAAAATTAGTTTAAACTTTGCTGTGTTTGTAAGAATGTCAAAAATAAATAAATACCAAAATTTTTAAAAATAAATATTCCCTAATTTGTACTTTTTAAACTTTCAAAGTAATTCTTTACATTTTAATACATTAAATATTTGCTTTTCTTATGCAGGGTCAAGTTTTTTTTTATGCAGTGTCAAGTGTTTTTTGTTGATTTCTTATCTAAAATGTCCTACGACTTCTTTACTCTTCCCCTTAGTGTCATTCCCACATTGATATTTTTGATTTTTTCCTTTTCTTTTCCACCTGTTGTTATCTGCTTCAATGTTAACTGTTCAGTTCATAATCATAAAGTCATTGGTAGGTGAGGTGATTTAAATGCATTGTGGTTAAATATAAGTCTTGCTCTGTAACGGTTTTGAAACTTGCTGATTTAAAAATCTTCTGCTGCAGAATTTTGAAGTTGTCTAGCAGTAATCTGTTCTTAGTAGCATAAAAGAAGATTGCTAAATGCTTTTTTTGTTATTTTAATCATTTAATCCCAAGCAAGGTAATAATGCCACTAGGATGCAGGTGGTTTACAGAGAGTGAAAGAGAATGAAAAGACTTCAGTGAAGAGAAGCGAGGAAAGGACAATAAAAGAAGCGAATATAACAGACCCAACTGGAACTGGAACTCAGCTCTCTGATTAACAATTCTGAGCCATTATCCATTACACCACCTACACATCCAAGCTTGCATCACCTAGTATTCCCAAGTTGTCACCCACTGAGGTCCCACTCTTTTGCTGTTGAATTAGTTAAATGCAATCATCACTTGTACTCCAACAGTTTCTTTTCTCGCACTTCCTGCCTGTGGAACTCCCTTCTGTTTACTTGCTTCCCTGATAACTACAATTTTCAAAAATTAAAAAGCAACGTCAATTACCATCTATCTTCTTGAACCCTGTTCAGCTTTTATCCTTTCCTTGGTCCCCCCTATGCCCAATCTTTTCTCTCACCTTCACTCTCTGTAACCCCCTGTGTACTAGTGGCATTTTCATCGTGCTTGGGGTGAAATGATTAAAAAATTCTCCATGTGTCATATTCATTTCTTTTGAAAATGTTAAAGTCATTTACTTTGGAAGTCTTCATCCTCATTATCAACAAGTCGCAACTCTTCCCACTACAAACAGAAACCTTGACCATTACAAATTTTAGCATCCTTCGCTACAAACAATTCTGGCTTGTAATATTGATTCTTACTAGGTCTTAATAGTGAATTCAGAGTTAACTTAGGGTTCAAATCCTAGCAGTGTTTTATGCCAATTATTTGATTCCATAAGTTCTTGTTTTTCTGTAATTCTGGTTACCATCTTGCGATGACTGCATTACACATGCTAATTCCTACCTTAACGCTTTCCATCATGCAATGGACTACCTAAATCATCAGCAATTACAAAAATATATATATATATTATGGACACTTATTAAATAAGATATTTGGTATTATGAGATCTCATATACTCATGTATATATTCATTATAATAATAATAATAATAATATGTTGAATGAGACCAACACTGGGAAGATAATCATGCCTTGAGGTGAGAGAAGCAAAAAAAAAAAATTAGGAAGTTTCACATGCTTTAGTCAAAAAGTCATTTTTAATGAATGTATGACTGAAGATATATTCCCTCAAAAAGTATATACACTTAAGTTGTACCATTTTCCAATTATAATCCTAATTAAGGATTAAAACATTTTGTTTTAAAGAAACATGTTTTTTAAAACTTTTTAATATACCTGTAAATTCCCTAACTTTTCCAATCGAAATTAGAGATGTTCAAACAAATGAAGATTTACAAAATATTTAAAGCTACCAAACAGTTGTTGGCATAAGAAACAGTCCAAGATACAAACTGTGAATTGGAGATACCAAAATCAAACAAGTACAAAAATATATGTGACTGTTTTAACAGAGGACAGAAAATGGGACACTGAAATCAGAAGGTGCATTGGAATAGCAAAAGAAGACTTTCAAAAGTTAAGCTAAGTATTAAGAAACAGGGAAAAAAAGAGCGCTGAATTGTTAAGTAATATCAGTGAACACTGGACAATCTCATCACAGATAAAGGAGAGACCTGAAGCAACAGAAATGTGGTTCTACAGAAGGATGCTGAGAATACCATGGACTGAACATTTAATAAGGAAGTTTTAAAGAAAAATGGAAACAAAAATATACTTAGCATCTGAAATCTCAGGAATACATAATGAGGAAAGAGGGCTTGGAGAATTTGACACTCAAAGAACATACTGAAGGACAGAGGGAAACAATGATTAATCTATCTAACAAGCTTGTATAAATGGATGGCAGAAGAGGGAATGGGGGAGGCAATGATAATATAAACCTTACTAAGAGCTACAAAAGATAAGAAGTTGTGGAGAGCCATAATCGTTGACGTCCTGAAGGGATACAGCACATAGAGCAGCAGCAAAAAAAAAAAAAAAAAAAACAATGTCTTAC